TCAAAGACCTTGCTCAATGAGTGGGGGAAGGTGATGTGCATGTTCTTCAAGGAGGGTGGACAGATTAAATGCAGGTTCCGTTTTGCTGAGTAAGGTTATACAAATCCAGGCCAGAATTGCATTGCTGCAGATACGGAGAAGCTGAGCCCTAACAGAAACGTAATTATTATTGTTGATTTTTCATCTCTTCACATTGAATTGATCTGTCACCTCATTCTATAATTTCACATCTTGAATCTGTTCCTACTGCACCCATGTTGCTACCACTCTAGCTCAAATCCTTATTGGATCTCACTTGGGCAAAGATTTGCTGGCCTCCCTTCCTGCCTTCCATCTCTTCTCCTTCCAAGTTTACTCTCCACACTACTTCTGGAGTGATTGCTCTAAAATTCACATCTAATGATGTTAGTTCCCTGACTCAAAGTCTCTGATCCCCAAAGATAAAGCCCATACCCCACACCGCAGCATTTGAGGCTCTTTCTAGCTTCATCGCCCATCCATTTCCTGTTATTTCATAAGTTCTCTGGAATACTCATTAGTAAAAAGTCTTCTTTCTGCCAAAATACCTTTTCTTCACTTCTCTGCTTAGAAAACTTCTCTAGAAAAGTCCTTGTTGTCTTCCTTGTATTATCAAACAAGCACATCTTCAGGCGATGTTCCTGGGCGTGGTGCCTTTAGGTCTCTGCCCTTCTCACTCCTGCTACGTTCTGCCTTGTTATTCTGCCAGAGTGTCTAGTCTCTGGTCTTTGCCTGGAACCTGGCCTTGTGCACCAGCTCTTTAACAGAAGGGCCCTGTTACCCAGTTGATGCCCAACAAATTGGAAATGATTCTTGTGGGAATCACTGTGGTGTCTCCTGCATATTTCTGATTCTCCTCATGGGCATGTATAGGATTATACTTTCCTTGAAATTATACCCCCGTGGAAGCTGGCTGTGGGCATTGGACTGGCTTTGACCAATGAAACTAGAAACATGGAAGTTTTAAAAGCCAGTGTATGGCTCATACCTTTCCACTAGTAATTGCTTTGTCAGTCTTTTTTTTTTTTTTAAGATTTATTTATTTATTTGAAAGAGTTACAGAGAGGCAGAGGCCGAGAGAGAGAGAGAGAGAGAGAGAGAGAGAGAGGTCTTCCACATGCTAGTTTTCTCCCCAAATGGCTGCAATGGCCGGAGTTGAGCCAATCCAAAGCCAGGAGCCAGGAGCTTCTTCTGGGTCTCCCATGTGGGTGTAGGGGCCCAAGGACTTGGGCCATCTTTTGCTGCTTTCCCAGGCCACAGAGAGCTAGATTGGAAATGGAGCAGCCGGGACTCAAACTGGCATCCATATGGGATGCTGGCACTGCACAGGCAGCAGCTTCACCCGCTATGCCATAGCACCGACCCCATGCTTTGTATTTATTCTGGAATAATGAAGACAAAAAGCAGAGCACCAAGACAATCCTTGATAGATATGGAGCAATAATGATAAATAAAACCTTGTTTAAGCTGCTGAGATTTTGGGATTGCTTGTTACTGAAGAACCCAGAGTTTCCTAACTGATTCACTCACTCTCTGTGCTTTGACATCTTCCATTAACTCTCCCAAACTACCATGAACTTGTGTGACACATGTTTTCTACACTGCTTATCTGATACTGATGACATACTGCCTCATAGTGCGCTTACCTGTTTGCTGGTATGGCTTAGACATTTCTACAACTCTGCTGTGGCTGTCTGAGATCAGACATGGTGCATGTCCCATCTTTATACCACACGAAGCATGGTTTGTGGCTGAAGCAGTGTATTATATTGTATATAAGAGTCAGACAGGGGCCATTGTTGTGGCGTAGCAGGTTAAGCTGTCACCTGGGATGTCAGCATCTCATATGGGTGCCAATCCAAGTCCCAGCTCCTCTACTTCTGATCCAGATCTCTGCTAATGTGTCTGGGAAAGCAGTAGAAAATGATTCAAGTCCTTGGGCCCCTGCACCTATGTGGGAGACCCAGTAGAAGCTCCTGGCTCCTGTATTTGGGTTGGCCTAGCTCCTGCCATTGAGACTATTTGGGGAGTGAACCAGCAGTTGGAAGATTCTCTCTCTCTCTCTCTCTCTCTCTCTCTCTCTCTCTCTCTCTCTTTCTCTGTGTGTGTGTGTCTCCCTTTCTCTCTGTAACTGCCTTTAAAATAAATCTTTTAAAAAAAATCAGAAAAATTTGATTTGAATCCCAGCTCTGACACTAACTGAACAATGTCTCTGGCCTTCAGTTTCCTTGCCTGTAAAGTAAGAGTAACAGCATACTCTCCACAGGAGCTTCCTCTAATTTCTGGTTAACAGGTGCAAAGTTTTTACAAATAGGCACTCTGCAACTACTGTTGTTCTCATTGTTTATTTTTATTATTATAGATGCTGTTTACTAAATGCTTGTGGATAAAGCAGTCATTGATTGAGGCATAGTGATTATGTGCATTGAACTTGGAATTAAAAGCCTTGGATTTAAGTTCTTGCTTTTGTTAGCAGCTTTGTGATCTTGTGAAAGTCACATATCCTCTCTGCACTTTTTATACTTTCAACTGTAAAATTTAAATATTAATGACATCTGAATTACAGGGGTTTTATACAATTTAAATGAAATAATATCAAGAACTTTTTTACACATACTCAAGCATTACATATTCTGAAATGGTGCAGGGAAGACTGGCTGGTCCCCACATGAGGACATTGAGAACACCTATGAAGCATCCCATGTGCTGCGATAACACTTCGCTGCCGTTTTTTTCTTTGTTTGCCTCTGTACATGTTTGTCTTTCCAACCAAACTATGAAATGTTTAAGATCAAGAATTGTCCCATGGGGCTGGTGCTGTGGTGTAGCAGGTAAAGTCACCACCTGCAGTGCTGGCATCCCTTTTGGGTGCCGGTTTGAGTCCTGGCTGCTCCACTTCCAATCCAGCTCTCTGCTATGGTCTGGGAAAGCAGTGGAAGATGGCTCAAGTCCTTGGGCCTCTGCACCACCTGGGAGACTTGGAGGAGGCTCCTGGCTCCTGGCTTCAGATTGCCCAGCTTCAGCCATTGCAGATATTTGGGGAGTGAACCCGTAGATGGAAGACCTCTCTATCTCTGCCACTGCCTCTGCATCTCTGCAACTCTGCCTTTCAAATAAATAAATAAATAAATCTTTTTTTTTATTGTCTCTTTTTAAAAAATGTTTATTTCTCCTTATATAAGAGTAATACCAGGGGCTGGTGCTGTACATAGAAAGTTAAGCTCCCCTCTGCTGCTCCAGCATCCCCTATGGGATGTTTGAGTCCTGGCTGCTCCACTTCTGATCCAGCTCCCTGCTAATGCACTTGGGAAAGCAAGGAAAGACTGCCCAAGTGCTTGAGCCCCTGCACCCACATGGGAGGTCCAGAAGAAGCTCCTGGCTCCTGGTTTCTGGCTTTTGTCTGGCCCAGCCCCAGTTGTTAAGGCCATTTGGAGAATGAATTAGCAGATGGAAAGTATCTCCCCCCCACACCCCATTTCTCTTTCTCTTTCTCTCTGTAACTCTATTAAATAAATAAAATAAATCTTAAAAAAGAGTAATACCTGATCATTGTAGAGAAAATAAAAATACATTAAGAAAATAGAAATTCTAGTAATTCTTGAATCTCATTCACAGGTAATTTCTATGAATGTATTTGTTTCCAATTTTTTTCTCTGCACATATACATTGTATCATATATATAAACATTGTCCTATGTCATTACATAATCTTACATACATAAGCTTATATACAACTTTTACATTTTAATCTTTCTCCTCTTATTGAATTTATAAGCTTTTAATACTTATTCACTATCTAAATAAAGCTATAGCATTTTCATACATAAACTTTTTTTTTTTTTGACAGGCAGAGTGGACAGTGAGAGAGAGAGACAGTGAGAAAGGTCTTCCTTTGCCGTTGGTTCACCCTCCAATGGCCGCCGCGGCCGGTGCGCTGAGGCCGGCGCACCGCGCTGATCCGATGGCAGGAGCCAGGAGCCAGGTGCTTTTCCTGGTCTCCCATGGGGTGCAGGGCCCAAGCACCTGGGCCATCCTCCACTGTACTCCCTGGCCACAGCAGAGAGCTGGCCTGGAAGAGGGGCAACCGGGACAGAATCCGGCACCCCAACCGGGACTAGAACCTGGTGTGCCGGCGCCGCTAGGCGGAGGATTAGCCTAGTGAGCTGCGGCGCCGGCCCATACATAAACATTTTTTAAAGATTTATTTTATTTATTTGAAAGAGATACAGAGAGAGGTAGAGCCAGAGAGACAGAGAGAGAGAGAGAGAGGTCTTCCATCCGCTGGTTCACTCCCCAAATGACTGCAGTGGCCAGAGCAGAGCTGATCCAAAGCCAAGAGCCAGGAGCTTCTTCTGGGTCTCCCATGCAGGGACCCAAGGGCTTGGGCCATCTTCTGCTTCCCCAGGCCATAGCAGAGAGCTGGATTGGAAGTGGAGCAGCTGGGACACAAACCGGTGCCCATATTGGGTGCCGGTGCTGCAGGATGGGGCTGCTCCACAGTGCTGGCCCCTGTACATAAACATTCGATTTTCTATATCTGTGGGAAAAAATTTTAGCAGGAATATTTCTGGGTCCAAGGGTATGACATTTTAATGCTCTTAATATTTCCAAATTGATTTCCAGAAGGTTGAAATGAATTCCACACCCACAAACAAGTTGTAAGGTTGTACGTTTCACTGCATCTTCATCTGTAATGGGAATTATTATTAAATACAAAGTTAAAACTTTTTAAATATAGTAATTATCCATATACACTTCTTCTTTGACTTGTTCATGTTTCTTACTGATTTTTATATTGGAATTTTCATATTAATTTCAATGAAGTTTTGAGAATCATTTTATTCTAGTAACCAAACACACAGAAGACACAAAATAAATGTTCCTTAAATATACCTGGAGCATTTGTTAACTGTCTTGGGGACTCTTTAGGAACCAAAGCAGACTTTCTAGGAGGCTGACTCTTCTTTCCTTTTCCCACCCCAGGACACTGCTGGGCAGGAGCGGTACCGGACCATCACGACGGCCTACTACCGTGGGGCCATGGGCTTCATTCTGATGTACGATATCACCAATGAGGAGTCTTTCAATGCTGTCCAAGATTGGTATGAGATTCACTCATTCATTCATTCAGCAAAGTAACATGTGCCGGTCTCTGGTGTGTGCATGAAAACCCAGACAAATCAGATATGGCTCCCATCCTCATGAAGACTGGGGCAGGTGGAGTATCTGTGCCATGGCTGTTCTGCAGAATCAGAGAGGCTGGGCAAGTCAGACCCACAACTCTAGTGCTGGTCAGCACCAGGCTTATCTCTTGCTTTCTTTTGCCCACAGCTACCATATTAATTGTTTTCTATTAGTATAATGAAATACCTGAGGCTCGATCCTTTAAAAGGAAAAGAGGGGTATAGGTTCCCCTGACTGTGTCTCATGGTAGTGGATGGCATCGTGGTGGGAGTGTGTGCAGGAGGGAGAAATCATGGGAAGCCAGAGAGAAACTAGACAGGAGCCAGCCCTGCTGTTTCATAACAGCAAGATACACACACACACACACACACACACATATATAATTTTTCTTCTTCTCACAACAACTAACCAAGGTTCCACAATACCTAAGTCAGTCACTTCAGAAAGCACTCCCCAGTGACCTAAGACCTTCCACTACCCCACCTCTTAAAGGCCCCACTTCTTTACATCACCATGCTGGGAACCCAGCTTCTAACACATGAACCCTTGAGGGACAAACCACAGCAGTTACTCTTTGAGGCCCTCACTCCTCCCAAGGAGCAGTTTCTGTGACTGTGAAAATCTTGGTGACTTGAAGCCTTGAGCTAACAGTGGCCTCACGGCCTGCCTGCTGCACTCTCCTGTCCTTAGCAGCTGTCCAGGATGTCACCGGTGTGTCTGCCATTCATGGGGCCTGTGTTCTCCTTTTCTGTCTCTCAGTTATCCTCTTCTTCTCCTGTCTCCCCATCCCTCGTTCACAACTCCTTCTTCCTGGGACCACCCTTCCCCCTCCTTCTCTTCTTTTTTCTCTTCCCCTTCGATTTCTGTCTCCAGTCATGATTTTTCCCCCTCTTCCTCTCTCCCCTCTACCTCCTACAGAGTGATTAGCGTCTCCACACTGCTCATCCCCCCATGTCCTTGACGTTCTTCCCTTTCTCCATCAGTCTCTGTTCATTCTGCCTCAGGAACATAGTGACTTTAACACCTGGTGACGATTCCTCCAAGAATAACCTGAGCTTGTTGCTTATCTGGGAACTGAAGAGGATGCAGTGGGAGAAGGGAGGAAGATGAAAGGAAGACGAACATGGGGAAAAAAGGACAGTTGTCTCCAGTTACCTGCCTTAAATTGGACGACTAAGTGTCTGTCTCCTGCAAACCCTGGCCTTTGAATTTCGTTTCTGGGCATCTTGGTCCCAGCCCAGTTCCCTAGTCCCCACCTGCCATTCAAACCACGGTGCCCAGAATGTAACCTGGCTTTTTGTGGACCCACAACAAATGATAGTTGAGTGAACTGCATGCTTTGAGGAAATGGCTTCTCAGTGTAGACAAGAAGGTTGACTGTGGAATCAACTTTAGCAGATAGGCCCAGGTTAGTTAGATTGAGTACCAGTGTCAGGATCTGTTTCAGGATTAACCACTCACTGCCTCATTTATTCATTAAACATTCATTGAAAACTCTGTTCTGTCTGTCCTGGGTATTGGCATCCAAAGATGCATAGGCCAGGGCTGGCGCCAAGAAGCAGTAGGTTAATCCTCCGCCTGCGGTGCCGGCATCCCATATGGGTGCTGGTTCTAGTCCCGGCTGCTCCTCTTCCCATCCTGCTCTCTGCTATGGCCTGGGAAAGCAGTAGAAGATGGCCCAAGCCTGAGGGCCCCTGCACCCATGTGGGAGACCCAGAAGAAGCTCCTGGCTCCTGGCTTCGGATCGGCGCAGCTCCAGCCATTGCAGCCATTTGGGGAATGAACCAGTGGAAGGAAGACCTTTCTCTCTGTCTCTCCCTCTTACTGTCTGTAACTCTGCATCTCAAATAAGTAAATAAAATTGTTTAAAAAAAAAAAAAGATGCATAGGCCTGTCCCTATCCTCAGGGAGAGATAAAGTCATCCTGGTGCCATAGGTGCCATGGTGAAGGTACAGAGGATCAAAAGGGAAAGTAACCATTTGTATCTAATTGGGTGGCTGGAGACAGAGTTAGGCTCATCCCCACAAAAATTGTCTCTACAATGTCAGGGTCCTATCTTTCCCCCTCCATTATTGATTTATTTATAATTATAGACTTTTTAAAAAGACTTATTTATTTATTTGAAAGGCAAAGTTACAGAGAGGCAGAGGCAGAGAGAGAAGTCTTGCATCTGCTGGTTCACTTCCCAAATGGACACAACAACCAAAGCTTGGCTAATCCAAAGCCAGGAGCTTCCTCCAGGTCTCCTCCTCGGGCACAGGGGCCCAAGCACTTGGGCCATCTTCCACTGCTTTCCCAGGCCATAGCAGAGAGCTGGATCAGAAGTGGAGCAGCCAGGACTCGAACTGGTGCCCATATGGGATGCCAGCATTGCAGGCAGCGGCTTTACTTGCTACACCACAGTGCCGGCCCCTGTTTCTCTTACAAGGACACTAATTCCACTTAATAGGCCTGTCCGTCATGACCATTACTTCCTAAAGGAAATACCAGTCCACTGAGGATAAGGCTTCAGCATGTGACTCTGAGAGGCTGGACACATTCAGTCCATATCAGTGTGATGTATCTGCCAGCTTCTTGTCACTATAGCTAAAATGCTTAAGAGTTGAGAGGCGCTTCTTAGGAAGATTTATTTCAGCTTACGGTTTGGAGGGTCACAGTCCATGACTGGACAGCCCATTGGTTTGGGCTGAGGCTGGAGGATGGTGGAGGGAAGATCACATGTGAACCAGAAAACACAGAGACACAGGGAGCCTACACTCTTCCTCTACCTTCTGTGTGTTCTGTGCTTACAACACCATCATGGTTCGATCATGCGGCCCTACCCTAGCAGCCTAACCCAATCACTTCCCAAAGGCCCCAACCTTGGATACCACAACTGGATCAAGCCTCCTCCCCAATCCATCAGCCATTAGCATCTCCTTTTATATTTGTGTGATGTACCTATGAGTTTTGTGCTGTTTCTGACAGTTCTGTCTCCTTTTAGGGCTACTCAGATAAAGACCTACTCCTGGGACAATGCCCAGGTTATTCTTGTGGGGAACAAGTGTGACATGGAGGAAGAGAGGGTTGTTCCTACTGAGAAGGGCCAGCTCCTTGCAGAACAGCTTGGTATGTGCATGACATGGATGCGTACTTGTGCATGTGTACTTGGGAGTGGGACTGAGGGGACATTAGGATGTGTTATGATTGTGAATTATGTATCTATGAGCTCCATGCTTATTGTTTTATATTTGTGTGATATACAAATGGGCTTTGTGCGTCTGAATTTTGAATAATTATTGTTTATAATATGTAAATATTTTGTAATATTAAACATATAAGTACATTTAAAATTATTTTAAAGATTTACTTATTTATTTGAAAGACAGAGGCAGAGAGAGAGAGAGAGAGAGATCTTCCATCTGCTGGTTTACTCCCCAAATGGCTACAACAAGAGTCAGATGATTCATCTTGGTCTCCCATGTGGGTGCAGGGTCCAAGGACTTGGGCCATCTTCCACTCCTCTCCCAGGTGCATTAGCAGGAAGCTGGATTGGAAGTGAAGCAGCTGGGTATTGAACTGTTGCCCATATGGGATGCCAACACTTCAGACTGTGGCTTCATCCCGCTACGCCACAGCACTGCCCCACCCCCCGTATTAAATTTATGAGCTCTTTTTAAATTTATTTTTATTTTTAAAGATCTATTTATTTACTTGAGAAGCAGAGTTACAGAGAGAGAGGGAGAGCCAGATAGAGAGGTCTTCCATCCACTGGTTCACTACCCAAATAGTCACAATGGCTGGGCTGATACAAAGCCAGGAATGAGGAGCTTCTTCCAGGTCTCCCACGTGCAGGGACCCAAGCACTGGGGCCATCTTCTACTGCTTTCCCAGGCCATAGCAGAGAGATGGATCAGGGAGCTGGATTGGAAGTGGAACAGCCAGGACTCGAACAGGTGCCCATTTGGGATGCTGGCGCTGCGGGCAGATGCTTAGCTTACTATGCCACAGCTCTGGTCCCTATGAAGTCTTTTTTAAACCAAATTCTTCCACAAAGGATTTGAAATGTCTTATAAAAATCATCATAGTACAGCAATATGAAATAAATAAGAAAATTGGAGCTAACATAAAGCAAGAGAAAGGAAAATAAGAGGAAACCAGGGTAAAATACATGTGTATGGCCGGCGCCGCGGCTCACTAGGCTAATCCTCCGCCTAGCGGCGCCGGCACACCGGGTTCTAGTCCCGGTCGGGGCGCCGGATTCTGTCCCAGTTGCCCCTCTTCCAGGCCAGCTCTCTGCTGTGGCCCGGGAGTGCAGTGGAGGATGGCCCAAGTGCTTGGGCCCTGCACCCCATGGGAGACCAGGAAAAGCACCTGGCTCCTGGCTCCTGCCATCGGATCAGCGCGGTGCACCGGCCGCAGCGCGCCAGCCGCGGCGGCCATTGGAGGGTGAACCAACGGCAAAGGAAGACCTTTCTCTCTGTCTCTCTCTCTCTCTCACTGTCCACTCTGCCTGTCAAAAAAAAAAAAAAAAATACATGTGTATGTCATAAATTCTTAGGCACTTGCAAGAACTGGGCCAAAATTTTGCCTTTGAGCTTCCTACCCACCATTCCAAAGAGGGAAACATAATCAGTTACATGGGTTCAGAGTGTCCTTAATGTGAAAACAAACCCATTATTCCAGTGAGGTATTGTTCTTCATTGCCAGCAGTAGAGCAGACTGTATCCTTCCAACAACAGCAATACTGGGCATCATGGCCTGTTTCTTACAGTTTCTCTTAACACTGATACTTATCATTAAAGCACAGTTCTCAACAAAAGTAATTTCATGGAGGGACAAAGCTATGTGGTTCAAGTGTGCAGTTCAGTGATGCTCTGACTTATCCCACAGTTAAAGCATTTTGACCTCTGTGCTCCACTGAGGTCTAGGTGCCCATAACTCAATGGCCCCATAACAGAGCCCATACTCACGTTTGCTTAAAACAGCAGCTTTTATTATATATATATATATATATATATATATATAGTATATTATGTATGCACACATAAACAGTGTAAGATTGCCTTAGAGAAAGAGTGTCATGCCCACAGAAAGTTTGAAAATTTCCTCTAGAAGAATAGATGGATTGCTAACTTTTAGCCAATCTCCCTAATTATTTCTTACACTCTGGGTGCTATAGGCACTGAGAAGTAGAGTTTAAAGTTATACCCTGACAGTTCCTGAAGTGCAGATATTTGGGCATGTAGATGAGTAAGCTGTAAACCTACAAGTGTGAATTGTGTATTGCATGTATTATGATTGTGTGTGTCCTACACTTCCTTCTCTTTACTCCTAGTCCCCAAAGTAACCTGGACTAGAAATTAAACTGCTAAGTACTTAATAAATAGGAAGGTTGGGTCACCTTGGTCTCGCCGTTTCTCCTTATCACAAAGGTTCTCAGGGTCCTGAAAGTGTCTCTACTTGATTCACAGAACATAAACACATGGAGAAGCCCACATTTTGATAGGTTCAGGCCATCTCTTTCTGCCTTCAACCCACAGTCTTTAAGGAGACTCCTGGCACTCTCCCTCCATTTACTATATCCCATCTGTTTGGAATGTTCTATTCTACTATCTTTTACCTCTTTCAGTTCGTGAGCCCCAACTCGGCTTTCAAAGCAAGCAAGCTCCACATCTTCTATGAAGTCCTTCCTGGTCCCCTTGAGCTCGTTGCATTATGCTCCCATTTAATGTAATTTGTGCATGCAACAGAGTACACATCACCCTTATTTACACTCATTCACTTGTCTGTTTCCTGAAAGCTCTTTGAGGACAGGAAATGAGTATTGTTTAACTTTGTACCCACAGTGCCTAGCATATGGTCTAGCATTGCAAAATATGTTTGATTAAGTTTTACTATGTCAGGTTTTAGGCTACTGCAGTAAAGAATTCCTGTATGCGCTAGGTGCTGTGCTGTGAAATAGGGTGCATTCCCTGGTCTGAAGCAGCTTGAGCCAGTGAGAACAGGTGGAAACAGCTATAGCCCAAATGATCGTGACTGTAACAGAGGGATGTGCTGGGATTACAGGAGCACCTGACAGTTGGGGTCAGAAACATGATGCCCAATTGGAGTCTTGAAGACAAGTAGAACCAGCCAAGTGAGGAAGAGAGACAAGAACGTTCCGGGGTGGGGGGTGGGGGGGGCATAACATGGGCAAAGACAATGAGCAGCACTAATCAGTGGGTGGTGTGAGCCTGGAACAGTGTTGCCCAAAGAGAGGGACTCATGGCACCTGAATTGTGCAAGAGGGTTTTATGTATTATTTTGATACGTATTAGAAAAGCATATAGGGGCCGGCACTGTGGCATAGCAGGTAAAGTCGCCACCTGCAATACTGGCATCCCATATTGGCACCAATTCAAGTCCCAGCTGCTCCACTTCTGATCCAGCTCTCTGCTATAGCTGGGAAAGCAATAGAAGATGGCCTAAATCCTTGGGCCCCTGCACCCATGTGGGAGACCTGGAAGAAGCTCCTGGCTCCGGCTTTGGATCGGCACAGCTCTGGCCATTGCAGCCAACTGGGGAGTGAACCAACAGATGGAAGACATCTCTCTCTGCCTTTCCTCTCTCTGTGAAACTCTGACTTTCAAATAAAATAAATAAATCTTTAAAAACAATGAAAAGCATATAACCAGCATGTTGAACCCTTACAATTAAACAAGAATAAGTTTTTAAAAGATGAGTTAGTTTTTTATTAGGAAAAAAATACAACCAGCATGCCGAATCCTGTGATTAAAATTTTTTAAGGACCTCATTAAAAAAAAAAAATTTATTTATTTACTGGAAAGTGAGAGTTAACAGAGAGAGAGACAGACAGAGAGACAGAGAGACAGAGAGAGAGAGACCTTCCATCTGCTGGTTTATTCCCCAGCTGGCTGCAATGGCCAGAGTCAGGCCAGGCCAAAACCAGGAACCAGGGACTTCTTCCAGGTCTCCTACATGGATGGTAGGGACACAAATACTTGGGCCATCTTCCGCTGCTTTTCTCAGGCCATTAGCTGGGCGCTGGATCAGAAGTGGAACAGCTCAGGCATGAACCGGCACCCATATGGGATGCCAGTGTCACAGGTGGGGGCTGTACCTGCTATACCACAACACTGGCCCCGACAGATTTTTAAAAGGTGAGTTGGTTAAACATTTGCTAGGTGCTTCATGTACTAGATACTTGTCTAAGTGTTTTAAAGTATAACTCAATTAGTTTAATCCCCACAAAACTCTCCAAGATATGTAACTTTTCTCTGTTGTGAGGTATGTGTTTCTACAGATCAGAAAAGTTGGGTGACTTGCTCAAGGACACATAGCTGCCACCTAGCAGTGGTCTGGCTCCACAGCCTAAGCTCCTGAGCACTTAACCTTCTTAGAGCTGATATATATTGAGCCAGGCACTGTATGAAATGTTTAGCATGAATTATATCTTTTTCTCTGTGTAAGTCTTCTAGGTTGGTACTATAAACTATTTCCGATACACTGAAAACAGAGGTTCAGAGAGATTAAGTAACTTGCCCAAAGCTATACAGTTAAGAAGTGATATAGTCAGCATAGATCTATTAAATTTATATAGGAACACAGATAGAAGTGAGATTTTTTTTCTTAAAGACTTTATTTATTTAGTTGAGAGGTAAAGTTACAGGCAGAGAGAGGGAGAGACAGAGAAACAGAAGTGAGATTAATTCTTTGTGTAGCCTTTAGGAAGGCCTTTGAAGAAGGCTTTAATGACTTGGTCAGATGTAGTCAGGTCAAGGTAACCCATCTGTCTTATACAGCTTCCTGAGCTTTCCTCTGTGCCTACCAGAACTCGACTGTTTATGGGTTTATTTCCTTTTCTAGCCCTTGAGAGCAGGAATTATGTCTGAATTGTTTCATTACCCAAAGAACCCAGCATGGAGTGATATTCATTCAGATGTTTCACTTATTCATTGAAAAATATTTGTTGAGCACATACTCTGAGCCAGGTTATATGCTGTCACTTAGGGTATAATTAATGATGAACAAACTAACTGTATTCTGTATTGTCATGGAAATAATGGGAAAGTATTAAACCAATAATTATACAAATAAATACATAATTAAAAGTTGTGTGGATGAAT